CCATCTGGAATATGGAAGGTCCTCCAGATATGTTCATGAAATTTATTTATTTCATCAATATTGCTGATAAAAGTGCTCAATTTGGTGTCTCTCTCAGTTGAAGTCCCACAACCATGGAATAGTTGTAGAATGGGGAGAATGCTTGTGATTCACAGTATTTATCATTTATTCATTCATCAAATATTTACTAATTGCTAGGCATGGTGGTAAGCACTGGGGAAACAATGGTGATCCAATAATAGGAATCATCTGTGTTTTCATGGAACTTAGAGTCTAGTGGATGGGGATGGCCAACAATCAAACAGCACACGAGTAAATGTGAAATTACAACTCTGATTAGTGTTTTCCAGAAGAGGAGCATGTTGTTACACAAATAATGGAGAAATATATCTTCCCAATATACCTATCCCTAATCTGGGAGGCTCAAAGAGGCTTCCCTGAGGATGCGACGACTGAGCACTGATCTGAGAGAAGGTTAGGAGCTAGTTTGATAAGGAAGAAAAGAGAGCAAGAGTTTTAGGGAAACAGAATAGTAAATGCAAAGAACCTGGGCAAGAGGGAACATGATGTTTTCGATTTGAACTTTTATTCTTAGAACTAAATTATTTTGATCAAAATTGTATAGATATGTAGATATGTGAATATAAAACATATATGTGTATAAAATAATACATAGTTTTAGAAGTAAAATACTTACATTGAATAATATTGGATATAATGTTGATTAATAACATTGAAAAATAGTGATCCATGCCTCACTCCTCCCCCTTTCCAATCCCACTCCTGAAAGGTAACCATTAGTCATTATTTGAGATTTATTTTAAAATTCTAGAATTTATTTCCATATTTTTAAATAATATGTTATTGGCTAACCCAGAATACATTTCTAATTTTTTCTTTCTTGTCTGCTTCCACTTTTGGGTTTAGAAAAACTAGACTATCCACTTTTCCAGAGACTCTTGCTGATAAGGGTGCTGTGTGACCCAGTTCTGGCCAATGAGATGAAGGTATACTAGGGGCTTCTAATGTCAGTATGAGCCTTGCTTTCCAGATAAATGGTATAGCTGAGGCTAGCAAGATCCCTTCTCCCTTTTTACTATTGCCTTAAACATAGATGTAATGGCTAAAGTTGAAGGGATCATCTTGTGTCCATAAGAAAAGGGCCAAGAGAATCTCAGGGATGCCAGAACTGAGTGTCAGAATCAAAGCAAGCAGCTGCTGTCAGACCCTTCATTTTAAGTGAGAAAAAAAAAATCTTTTTTTTTCTAAACTATTGTTAATCAACCTTGATGTTACTAGCAGCTCAAAGCATGCTAACTCATATTTATGTTGCTAGTTCTTGATTTACGAGATTTAGGCAATAATGTTGTCTTTCTGTTATAGTATGATGATAACAATTCTTTTAAGCAGTCTCCCACTTCCACCTCATACAAACCAGTATCTTCTTCCCATCTTCCCAATTGAGTTTTATTACCAGTTTTAGTACAATTTCATTTAGTAATTCCATTATTATGATTATGTAAATATTATTCACTGTTGAGTCAAGTATGTGCTAAGATTGATTAATACCATTGTATTCTTGCACATTTTTTCCCACTGGAGCTACTGAATGTTAAATATTTGCTTAGTTTTCTCTGTACCTATTGCTAATACTTTCCACACTGTCAAAGCATTTCTCAATAAAATTTTCCACAATGTTAAATGTCACAGTTGGATTCCACTTCCCACTTGCCACCCAGAGACCTCTGTTGAAAGAGAGTTTAGTTATTCTCTAAAACTGCTGCAGAGCCACAATTCTGACCTCCCTCTAAATTTTTCTTCTATTGTCATCTCTGTTTTCTGAATCTTAAAACTATTTCTTTCTTGATTCTTATTCACCCATTTGCTTGATTCCATTCACTTAATGGAGCACACTGTCCAATATTTTCTGAGAAACAGTGCATGAGAGGTGATTTTTAGAACTTGCACTTCTGCAACTGAATTTTGTTCTACTTTTATACTTCATTGATTACTTGTCTAGGCATAGAATTCAGTATTTAAAGGCATTGTTTTCTAACATCCTCAAGTTGGCAGTATTGTTGAGAAAGTTAATACATTCTGATTCTTGATCCTTTGTGGCTGAGCAGTTTCTCTTTGCTTGGTTCATTTTATTTTTACTCTCTGTAAAGGTCAGTCCAGAAATTTAATGATAATGGCTTCAATTCATGACATTTAGAATCCACTGTGCTTAGCACTACATGGTCCTATCAATCAGAAGACTCATAATGCTTATGTTCTTAAAGATAATATTTTGTCTTTTCTCTAAAAATTTTCTCCCCACCATTTTTTCCAATCTTTCTTTCCTGTTAATCACAGATCAGACCTTCTTGACTGATCCTGCAACTTTCTTGTCTTTACTCTTCTATTATCTATTTTTCTGTCTTTTTGTTTTACTGTTTGAGAGGTTTCCTAGATTCTATCTTCAAATATACCATAAAAGTCTCTATTTCAGCTTTTATATTTTAATGTCCCCAAGCTTTTGATTCTCTGATGATTATTTTGTTGTTTTTAAGTAGTATACCGTTCTTGTTTTATGGATGCAATATCTTCTCATATATGAATTATATATTCTTTATCTCATCTCTGTACCTGCTGTTTTCCTCAATATTACTCTTTAAGTTGCATTTTTGTTCTGGTCTATTTCTGTTCTGGTTTAGAGGTTTCTCTCAAATTTCTGGTGATCCCTGGCCTCATAGTTATATTTAAGAGTATGTCATAAAAAGATTATTAAAATTTTTCTGTGAGAGTGGGACTTACTGACTGATGGACTTTGTTGAAAGGAGATCTGATGGAAAGTAGGCTTCATCCTTTCTTCCTCTCTTTCTTTATTCCTTCCCTCCTTCTTTCTTTCCCTTCCTTCTTCCCTCCCTCCCTTCTCTCTTTCTCCTTCTTCCCTCCCTCCCTTCTCTCTTTCTCCTTCCTTCCTTCTTTCTTCCTTCCTTCCTTCCTTCCTTCCTTCCTTCCTTCCTTCCTTCCTTCCTTCCTT